GGATTGGTGAATAGCTCGGGACATAAGAAGAGATACCACAATTGTTTAGCAGACAATTGATTAAAGGATCGGCTTCACTTGTCTCTTTGACGAGTTGTAGTGTCATGCTAAGAATGACAAGACTCACTGACGATGCCGACGAAACATCTGGGAATGTATTATATCCACGGTCTTACTCTGGAAGTTACCATGCATCCTTTAGACTCCGGACTAGGTGCTTTCCTCTAGGTCTTCTTAACAATATGGTCAAGTTGCGAAAACAAGGTCAAGCAACTTCTGATATATAGGCACATTGTTTATACGCCCTCAATCTTCTATAATGGTGTGCATATTTTCCAATCTTATTCGATCATTTTATGCTTATAGAATCATTAGCTATTTACTTAGTGAGAGTATTCTTGGCCTGGTCTATCCATCCATTTTATTTTGTTCATCCGAATTATGTTAAATATGGTTATAAACCCAAATATCGTACAATTTTATGCTGTTGGAAGTTAATAAGAAAGACTTTTTTACCTATGCTGCGATAATTATTTATTATGGTTTGGTTTTACCTATTTTGGCCTCAATTAAGGGACGTTGTTGACCTTCGCTTTCTTGCACGATGTATATGGAAAGATTGTTTTTTATTTATTTAAAAATGATTATTATTTTTTAATCCTCGCTGAGCCAAGTGTATCTAGTCTCATGCTACTTATGACTACATATGCTATGCTTAGTTTCCACTGCAAAATTAATCTTATATTGCAAGTTTTAATGACACTCGCGTTGAGCGATCCAGTCATAAACATAAGAATCGAAATGGGTTGACCTCGTTGTCGCAACTTGGTCTTGTGTTCAGGGAGAAATGTACTTCGATTTATAGAAGTAGGATGACCTCGTTGTCGCAACTTGGTCTTGTGTTCAGGGATACTATGTAGAATTGCACCGAGTTCCGAAGTCGTCTGCCATAGTAGTTGTCATGATTCCCAGCATCTGACAGTGGACTTGATACATTCTCAAACGTTGGGTTGATCTCGTTGTCGCAACTTGGTCTTGTTGTCAAGATGACTTAGTAGAACGCACCTAGTCCGAATTCGTCTGCCATAGTAGTTGTCTTGATTCCCAGCATCCGACCGTGGACTTGATACATTCTCAGACGTTTCGCCGGTATCGTAGTCGGCATCATCAGTGAGACTTGCCATTCTCCGCACCAAGATACGAATTCGTCAAAGAGACAAGTGAAGTCAATCCCTCGACAAACCGTTCTGCTGGAAACTGTGACCATACTCGAAGCCACAACATCTTGGTCTTCACATCTTCAATAAGAATCGAAAGCTGCATCCAAGGGACGAGCATGCTACTAATATTACTATTCATAACACAGGAAATTACTTGAACTACCATGAAAATACAAAAGACACGTCTTACTTCGGCTTCAATGATCTGATTGTCCAAGATCTCGTTTATAGAATAGACCAAAATGTTGGCCGCAGCGGAAACCACCCAACCAATAATTGCTGATGCGGCGCCAAAGTTCACAATAAATGGGGCTAGCAATGGCGTTGCTAGATAGGCTATATAGAAGAAATGGTACTTGTTCCCGCACTGGTTGAGTAGTCGCCATAGATACTTCAGTACTTCTTCTTGTCTGTTAAGAATGTATAAAAAGGCTTGCATATGGAAGAGGCTAACGGTGACACTGAGTACCACCAGCACGACTAACTCGTCCAAACCGTCATACATGTAGTTTAATAGTTGCAGGGCAACTTTCGTTATGTCTAGATACATTTGGCTGGCAAGTGATACGGCTGAGATGGCTGCGCCCACTATTACTGGGCCCAGCAAGACACCAGTTAGTATGAAGAGATCATTATTGATCGTTATCTCTTCTGTAGAAAAGTCTGTCATGTTTGGCTCCTTAATTTCCTTGGGAATAATAAGACCTTCAGGTAGTTCATTAAGAGTAGTGATATTGCTCGCCATTTCTTTGCTGAACAGAACGAATGGACTTATCGTCGACCTGGTGGCATTTATCTGCGCTAGAGGATAAAGCCGTTGGCTAATCAGGTAGTAGGCAACTGACCTGCCCCAGTTGCAGACGATTGCACATGCGAGTATCCGCTTCCAGGCACCCTGCATTCCCGACTGCTGGGCCGCCAGCATCAGCTGGTATGGCGCCGGGGACAATATTAAATAGACCAGATGCCAAGTCAACCTACGTGGCAATTGGGTGTAAATAGTAACTTCTGTGGGTCCGTCATCTGGAAGCTGTATTTTATCATAGTCGACTTCTTGACGAGTGCGCGACAATCCGACCAATACTATCCCAATTGTTTCAGCCAATAGGCAGCACCAGGTGATGGGGATAATGCTGGTAATTCCATTGAGACTCGCTGAGATCGTCACTCCCAGGAGGAGATAGATGAGGTTACGTGTCAGCCTGGGATGCAATTCTGTAATGGCGAGCTGGAAAGCGTTATACATCTGTTGACTGGTGACACAAACGGAAAGTGTCAAGTGAATTAAAAGCATGATGCGTGCTTTTCCCAGCTGCCGATAGATATAGGTGCCTTGAGTTGGGTAGTCGTGCTGCAATAGCAGGTTCCAGAGCGGCAGGATAACAAGTATTGCTAGAAATCGGGCGCTCTCATCACACAATAGGTATTTCAGCCGGTCGCCCTTGACTCCGATGCTCATCCTTGCACTGCCCATGCCCTCGGGCTGCAGTGCATAGCAGACAGCAGGGAGCAGCAGAAGGAGGTGTGCGTAGCTCAAGTCGCCAGTTTGGCCCATGGCGAACATGCCTGTGCCAAAGCCGACACCACTGGAAGCCGGCAGCGCTTCGGTACGTGAATCTCCTCCAGAAGTCAGCTGAGTCCTTTTCGGGCCGAAGATGAACCGCCTCAGGGCCCTACCACCAACCGGCATCGGATCTTTGCGATGGCGAACTAAGTCGACCAGGAAGAGCACCAGAGAAATGCACATGCTGACGACATACCAAAGGATGCTTGCGAATAGAATCAGTTCAGAGTACGGCTGTTTCCTTTCCACAATAAAGGGCTCAGCCATTTTTTCTTCTGCTAATTGTCCGACTTAATCTTAAACCCTTTAGAGGTAACTGAAATCTTTATTGATTGGTCATTCAGGCAAAATGAGTGGGATTTTTGAAAATTTAACCTAAAGTCCTAATTTAACGCATTGCTAACCATGTTTTTCTTCAAAAATATATATTAATTTGTCTTTTTATTCTCAAAAGCACTTACTTGATGGAATGGTTCTGGAACCATTTCGAAGCTAATAAATTATTTGCTAACAATCGCAAATTCTTTACCATTTAATCGCC